CTTTTAAAAACTGTCGAAATATCGCTATTTCTTGGTCCCATCTAATTTAAAAAGAAAAAAACTGCTGTTTACTACACGCATTTCAAAGTAGGGGTACATTAACATTTGCGTATACTGTGCAAACACAAAATCAAACAACCCTTTTCAGGGCCACCACATCCTTCAGAAAGGAAACTACCGTTATTCACATACCAAATAATTTTGCCAGACCGTATATTTACCTGAAGAACAGCTTTTTATTGGAGTTCTATGGTTGAAAGATTGCTTTAACCTTTTCACTGCCAGAATTTCTCACCCAAATTATTCAGTAATTTCTTTCTTATATTCTTTAATATTTCTGGAAATGAACCCTGATTGTGCCAACAGACAAGTTTGAATCAATTTTCAGTTTTTACTCAAAAAATTTAGCTATTTTTGTCCCAATCTTCTGAAGGAATGTGCAGACTATTTTGTGAATTCATGATAAAAAGAGGGAACTGTTGGTGAAAAGAGTAAAAATAACTAACATTGAGTTAGAAAAAATTGTACAGTGTTGAAAAAACAAAATTGGAATGCTCAAAGAAATTTAAATTTAATTTAAATTCTACATAATTCAAAAATATGAGCATTTAAAGTTTGTTCAGTACTATCCAGAACAATCTGTCATGTGTAATGTACATTAGCATTTTGAATACTGGTACGCATAACATTAATTATTCATGGGGGTCCTTAACTTTTCATGACAATCATGGATTTCAATTGATGGAAATTTTTATTTTAGCCCCCCCCCCTCCTCCATATAGGTATTTGCTACAATTATGTAGGTGTGACAATCAGATGTCACACTGGTTGATCAGCTCTGGGAAATTAATATTTTATTATTGGTGTCTATTTATTTTTACTTTGTTTTCATCACATCTACAGGTTGATAGATCACCATGTGGTAGTGGTGTGACAGCAAGAATTACTTTGCAATATCATAAGAAACAAATCACATTAAACAAGTCCCGTGTATTTGTAAACGCCAGAACTGAAAGTAATTTCAGTGCTAAACCAGTACGTCAAACTAAATGCGGTTCGTATGATGCTGTGATAATAGAAGTCTCTGGACGTCCCTACTACTCTGGTGCATCTGTCTTCACCTTCGAAGAAGACGATCCTTTGAAAGGAGGATTTCTTGTAAAATGATCTTTGGAAACTTCAATGAGTAAAAATATTGTAAAATCACTGGTAACCTGTACAAAATGGGATCAAGAGTCAATTTGTTGCAATTTTTGTTATTTTTTTTTGGAGACTAATGGTGTGTGGTATCAGTGGAAAGATTTTTCTGTGTATTTTGCAAAAATATGTGAGGATTGGTTCAAAATTTGGATGGGGTCAAAGTTCACATACTACAATTATACGAGTTGGGAAACGGGCAAGAAATAATCTATTCTTTAAAATACAAGGCGGCTATATTTTGACAAAGATTAAGTCTACATGTTTGTTTTTCATTATAATTTTTTAAAACCTAAAATAGCTGAAAATTACATTTGGATAATATAATTTAAATATATGTTGAAACAGGAAAATCAAGTTTGGCATTAAGCTATACAATTTACATTTGTTTTCCTCTGATTACAGCATGGTTTTATTTTCAGTTGTTACATGTATACTGTTTGTGAAAATTCATGACTCATTTCATCTGTGCATTTTAATTAACTAATTTACATGATTAATTAATTAATACAGCCAAGCTGTGCATATCCAGACAAGCCATAATTGAACCCTGAACAAGCTATAAGCTTATAATCCAGCTAAGCTGGCTATAATCCAGTCAAGCTATTATCCTGCCAAGTCGGCAATAATCCAGCCAAGCCGACCATAATCCAGTGAAGCCATAATCCAGCCAAGCTGGCCATAATCAAGCCAGGCTATAATCCAGCCAAGCCATAATTGAACCAAGATGGCCATAATCTAGTTAAGACATATTCCAGTCAAGTCATATTCCAATCAAGTCATAATCCATTCAAGCCCTTATCCAGCAAAGCTGGCCATAATCCATTCAAGCCCTAATCCAGCAAAGCTGGCCATAATCCAGTCAAGCCCTAATCCAGCGAAGCCGACCATTATCCAGTCAAGCCCTAATCCAGCCAAGCCATAATCCAGCCAAGCCATAATCCAGTCAAGCCATAATCCAGTCAGACTATAATCCAGTCAAGCTGACCATAATCCAGTCAAACCCAAACCCAGCCAAGCCATAATGCAGTCAGACTATAATTCAGGCAAGCTGGTCTTAATCCAGTCAAGCCATAATCCAGAAACCATAATCCAGCCAAACCTCAATCCAATCAAGCCATAATCCAAAATTTAACTAAGCCATAATCCATTTTAAAACAAATTTCATCATTAATCTTGCTCTAAATCTGTTTGCAGTGT